ATCGTACTTCTCCTTTCTCAAAATATATTCTCAATGTCCCTCACTTTTTTGCCTCTTTCCCACCAAACCAATAAAAAGAGGTTGTATGCGTCTAACGCTAAAAACGGACACGAACAAAAAGCCATTTGTTTCTGTCATCTCATCGTCCAGCGATTCGTGCAGCTTCTGCTACTAGGCTTCTAGTGTTTTTCACGCCGCTTCCGCAAAAGGATGAAGCTCAGAAATTGCTTTTTTCTTCCTTTGTCGAGTGGTCATTTTTTTTGTTCTTTGCATCTTGAGAGTTTGGAGGAAAGGAAATTGTAAATTTCAAACCTGGACGATGCGTCACATTTTCTAAGTAAAGTTTTTACGAATCAGTGCAACCTTTCTGTATTTTACATTTTTCTGAGTTCCAATTTTAAAATTACATTCCGAACACTGACTGAGTAAGAACTCAAGATGAATTATTTGGACCATTAAATAATTTCCCTTCATTTTCACTCAATTTAAAAACTCATTAGTGACCGTTTCATCCCCAAAAGTCAAGTGCACATCTTTATCCATCCTCTGATCTTATGTTCGGCGTTCAAAATCGCACCCTATTTGAGTTCGCCGACGCGATCGCCGTGTATTGTGTGTGTTTTTCTCTCTTTTTTGTCCGTTACTTTTCTCTTTTCTCGTTTTGGGTCATCTCATTTCATTAGCAAACAGCACGCTTGTTGTTACGACTAATGTATATGTACTTTACTGTAATCCTATTCTTTTGCAAACTTCTTCCCGTTTTTTTTCAAATCCTAATCGAGAAAGGAATGCAAAAAAGAAAGGAAACTAAGGAAAATACCAAGAAAAGTCAAAAGAGAAAGGAAACAAGGGAGCGTGATTTCCCTATTCCACTTATCTTCTCGCTTCCTCAATATGAAAAGGAGTGTGAGGGATGAGACGGATTCATTTCCGACCCAACACCGAACAACCGGCCCATAATTTAACTGGAGGTCGCTTGAATGTCAGGGCACGATGAAGACAAAAACGTTGACTCAGAGGGGGGTCTGTCGTTTTCTTTTTCTCATCTTAGGTTTTTAGAGAATCCGCTTAGACAGATGTCATTCCTATCATTTCGCGTTTTGTCGTTGTGGCATATTCTCCTAGGGCAATGGATGATGATCTCTCGTATACTCTAACGACAATCAGGTGAGGCCTTTTTTCGCAATTTTTTAGACCTACAGTAACCGAGAACAAACGGTTTGAGCATTAGAAAGCGTAATACTACAGAACATGTAGGAGTTGCATAGTATTCTATCAATCAGTAGGCCGGGAAATTTTCGGACTCCTTTCAAAAAATCAACATAGTGTTTTGAACGTGAAAGGTCATTTCATCATTTCAAATATGAGTGGCCTACTGAATTTTAAGCTTATTGCTGAAGCTGTAAGGCATTTTGGAACTAAAATGAACTACATCTAGAACGATTTACTGAAGCAATTTCAGAACCTACAATAAAAAATGAAGACTCTTTAGTTCATTAGAAAGTACGGTATTTGAAACACGAATTTTTGATTTTTGAATTTTTGAAAATTCAACTACAGACGCATTAATACAGTTAACGCACTAATATAATGCCTCCCAAGCTGTCAACTTTCAGACAATATATCTCATTTTATGTGAGAGATATCGAAAAGTGATTCAACTAACTCTAAGTCTACTAACGATATGCTAGGTATTCTTTCAGTTTGTCACTTTCTGATATTTTCGAAGAAAATGATATAAAACGGCTTATAGTTGTCAGTTAAGGACAACATTTTATTTCAGTCTTTACGGTATATCGGTTTTTTGAAAATTTGGCTTACTCTGGAGTTTCTCAGCTGGTTATCGTGCTTTATACAAATCTTCACTCTTGCTTTTGGCTTTTCTACAGTCGCCGTATTTTGAACTCGAATCTAATTACGTCACAGATGTTCTAGGAAGTTCAGTTAGATTGATGTCATCACGATGTTCTTGCGTGACACTGAAAAAATTAGGAACTTCGCCATTTCTCAGAATATAATGCTCAAGATGAACTCAAGAACTCGGACAGAAAGAATTAGTCCCGGCTCTTGAATATTTCACCAGTCACAAATGGAGGAACTCAAATGGGGGCTAAGAGCTCCACCCCATCTTCTTGCAACCATTACCCATTCTCCTCCATCAATTTCCCATTCCATTTCCCTTACTCCACTGTCAGGGAGGCAAGAAATGCCTTTTTTGGTACCTGCTTGTTCCGATTCTCGACTGACCAATTATTCAACGCGTGTATTATTCGAGGTTACTCTGTCGGTGCCAAGCGTTCAACCCCACCTCCTCATTTCTCATTCCACTTGTCTCTTTCTCTCTATACATAGGTTTTTCATTTCAAAAATGATGGAAATAGATGGAACAGGAAAAGAAGAAGAAGAAGAGAAGGACGCTGATTCAGTCACTTACCCGATCTTTTTATCACTTTCAATACGACGACCAGCTAACATGTTGCGAATTTCTGGACTGGTTCTTCAACCTGTTACATCACGTCTCATTTGTTTCCGTTTTTCTTCATTTTGTTTTTTTTTCCCACTTAGTAGAATTTTCTTCAAATTTTTCGAGAATTTACTAAATAAGTAGTGTATATTCAATTGGAACGTGTGTTGTTTTTTCATCTTCCACAAACTTTCTTCAAGTCCACTTGATGAATTTATAAGATTAGATTCTCCCGCAAAAGAGAAAAAAGAGGAAGGAAGAATGAAGACGAAAAAATGAAAGTTTCTTTTGATAAAGTTTTGGGTTTGTTTATTTTCAATCGAAAAGTATTTTACCTAGTAGTCTCAGGACAATAGATGGGCAAGTAGCTTAACACCAATATAAAACAAAACGCTGATTTTTCCGTTTTTTCAACTTTGGCAAAAAAAGACAAGAATAAAAATCCAGCACATCCACATCCTCGGCGATCTTCATAAGTACTCTGGAAGATCAACTACAGGGGACCGATTGTCTAGTTTCTCATCGAAAACAGGTGAGAAGTCCGTAGCACGTGAAACATGCTGCCTGCCTATCTCATCCATTCTCTTTTCCGAACAGAATATAATAGCGAATAAATTTTATTGGGGCTTGGTGGCGGTTCGACTGCGGTTGGCTAGCCAATAGCCAATCTCTCTCCCCCTATTTTCTCTCAATCCACTGTCCTGACCTCTATTTGAAAAGAGTTGATGTCCAGTCTCTCATAGTTTGACGTCGTCGTCATTTTCAAGTTTTCTTTTGGATTAAGTCGCTTTCATTGTCTATTCCTAGTTTCTATCTTCTATACAATCTTACTCGAGCTCATAAAATGCCTCAATCGCGACGGTTTCTAAAAAAGTAAGTGTTGTTTTCGGTTGACCCACTTTTATCTCTTATCACACATCCTTTTTTTATTTGTTACTTGGAGAAGAGGAAAGCAAAATGACCATCTGTTTTTAGTCGTTTTGCTTGTGGAGGAGTTCTCTCCACTTCTTAGTTTCGGCAGATGTCTATAAAATATCCTGTGTGTCCAGAGCAAGATGTTTTTAATTGACTGAGTTTCTGAGTTTGGTTTATCCAGATATAAGTATTTCTCAACAGTTGACAAACAGGGAAAATCTGGTATACCGTTAAACCTGTTAATAGAAGGGTCCCTAACTTTTAAATGCGAGCCAATTTTGCTGTGTTTATTTCAGAGATGCAAAACAGTAGTCAACTGATAAATTGGTTATCATGATATCAGAAATGATTGGTCAGTTGTCACATTTTTCATATTTTTCAAAGGAATCGAGATAACTAAGCTCAAAAGTGTGGGGGCCGTCAATTACAGGTTTCACGATAAAAATAAAAGTGTAAGCCACCACCATCATTTTTTTCATCAAAATTAATCACATGACCGTACTTTTAGGCCTCTCAAAAATCGGTTATTTAGACACGAAAGTGAAACCGTTTTTATGGATAGGTATCAATCGCTGCCCCACTATTTCTACACCCATTTATCATCTAGTCCATCAAGCGTCTTTCGATTTCCAATTTCTCTTCTTCTTCCCAAAAACTGAAACTATCAATCATTCATCAATTTTCCCCCATTAAGATACCGTATCCTTCTCAAAACCCTTCTCCTCGATCTATTCAAAAACCAAAACAAAAACGTCTCCCAAAAATATTCTTCCTTTTACTTCTCGATTGTTACAACACGAATGCCCCAAGTTGTCTGCCTCCTCTTGACAGCAGTAGTTCATGATATAGGCTAACCTAGTGACCATAAAAAATTTCGAAAAAAATAGTACTTCACTCTCTCTCTCGCTTAATTTACTCTTCCTCTTCAAGGCTATATGTATGTCTTGAAGTACACATTTTTAGTGTGTCAAAAGTAAGCGGAAGGCTTTGTTTCACACAATGTCCTCTTCTACTACGTCTTCTTCCTCGACACCCCCTAAACCAAACGATACCAGCATAGCATACGGAGAAAAAGGACGACTACGACGTGTCCCTCACTCCTATCGTCTTATTCAATCTCCTTGTGCTTCCTTCCCTCCATACCCATTACTCTGTCCCTTGTCTTGTCCTTTTTGCCTTTTGGTAGTCAGTTGGTACAGCTATCTTTTTTTTTGGCTTCTGGGCTGAATTACCTTTTCTTACTTGTTGCTATGTTATACCAGCCGATCTGAATGACCAACTTTCCCTAATTATACTATGTCTCATTGACTTTCTGTATTTTTTGTGTTTTTTCTGGCTTTCGACACTTACAAAAATTTTTTGGGGAGAGAAAAATCTAACTAGAACTAATCAGAAGAAATTTTCGAAGTTAATTTTCTCTCTTTCACAAGAGGTACTTGAGATGCCTGTCCATCAATCCTAGAGGTTTTTTTCTTCTTCATATTCCTTTCACTCTACTTGATTAGACTTTCGTGGCACCAACCAACCCGCCAAACATGCCAAAACTTCAATTTACGGGGATAAGAGGAGAAAAGATGGGACCTATTTCTTTTGTCCTTCAAACTTTCACTATTGTGAGGACATGGTCTAATTGGGGGGCTCGTCGTCTTATATTTCCCATTTTCTTCGCGCATCTGCTCATCCTAACGTAGACAGATGTTGCAAGCCGTTGTCACGCACAGGTAGTTGCACCTGATTCCTAATTTTCTTCATTTCCTTCCCATAGATCCTCCTTAATAGACTTGTTCTGCATCTTTATTCTGCGGTTCACTGATTTCGCAAACAAATTTCAATAGGCTAGGAGATAGCCAGCTTTGAAAATCAAAATTAGCTTTCTTTCCTCCCATCGTTTCTTCTTATCAGACATTCCAATCGGAATCACGCATTCTCTCATAAAATTCACACTTTTTCCCTTCTTATCACACCAATCATCAAACTTTAATGTTGACCTCATTTTCAGCGCACAGGGCGCTTGTGACTGGGAACAGTGTCTGCTGATGGGCTCCGGCGAGCCGATACGTGCTCGCGCGGTGGTCTCATCGTCACAGAAGCCACGCAAACCACGACAGGAGATATCGGCATGTCTCAAATGGCTCGTCTTCAGTCTCAACTCAATTGTCTTCGTAAGTCGAAATTGCGCTTTTTCTCTTTCCTTTTAACCGAGTTGCATCCGGAATTGAAAACAAAAATTTAGAAAAGTAGTAGAAGTAGAAGGAGAAGTAATGGTTGATTACTTCACTTTTCAAATCGCCTCCTCCTCCCACTTTGCATGCGTAATTCCGAGTTCGTAGAGACAAAGCCAGTTCATTAAAATCCAACGACCAGAAATCTAGAATGGAATTTTGTATGCACCTGTTTGATCAGATGAGATCGTAAGGAAAGTGACCATCTGCCCAAATTCCTTACCCAAACAATGCCGAAAGCAGTATTAGTTTTTCAAAAAAGTGAAGAGTGAAACCTCATTCGGATTCCTGGCAGATGTCCTTCTGAGGTTCTCATCAATTCAGTGGGGGATTTTTGTTTCTGAACAAAAGTCGCGCTGGTGGGCCATTAGCGATGGGTCATTCACTCGATTTGTCCGACACCGCCGCCACCCAAGCCGCGGTTACAGCCCAGTGAGTTTGGACAAGTTGTTCCGAAAATGTGGTAATTTCCTAATAGTATTGGAGGGCTTAGATTTTGAAATCGGAACAAAAAGAGGAACTTTTCAAATTTTCTTGGAATAGGAATAGGGAAACAGGGAAGTTCGCTTTCAGAACCATATTTTCTTCTCATGGCTTCGACAGCATTCAATATTTTTAGAGTCATTTGAACTCTTTTCATGGATAAGAAAGGGAATTGTTCAATAAGTCACAAGTTGTAAGCCGATTACCATCATCGCGCCTTTGCGTTCTTAGGAAGAAACCACTCAAATTCATAAGTGCGTTAAGTATAAGGGCTTCACCTCTTTCTTCGCCCTCTCACTCAAATTGGCTTTTCGGTGTTTGTGAATTTCCTGCTGAATGTTAATTGAGGATGACCTTTCTTTGCCCCAGCTCCTAATTTGCATTAAGCCTAGGGGGTTCTCATGAAAAGAGGCATCAGAAACAACCATGTTGTTGAGAGATTCGGGGATGATTGAGATATTTGGAAAGGCTTTGGCGGCAACTGGTGATTCAGAAAAAATAGGACAACTTGATTTATAAGGTTTCGATTTTTTTGAATATACAGTACCGTTCAGAAAGGTGGGAATTTTCAGTTGATTTATGGATATTTTGACAATTTTGAGAGGTCTGGAGCTCGGCTGTCAAGTTTCCGATATATTTGAAAGTTTTGTAAATTGTAAAACAAAATTTTTCAGAGAGTTTTCCTAATTCTATATGTTTTCAGCTCGTTGGAGTGGCGATCCTTGCACTGGGAGTATACCTGTTCATCAAAGATTTCAGAGAAGTCAAACTAGTTGATGTAATATTAAATCCAGCCATTCTTATCAGTATATTCGGTAACTTGAAGACTCTTTAAAGTCTTAAATTCCAAATTTTCCAGGTTTCTCAATATGTGTAGTATCATTTTTCGGTTTTATGGGTGCATTGCGTGACAATATTTTCTTGCTCAAATGTGTGAGTTTTTCTCAGAAAACGAGGTTTCCAGACAAAAACGTTTTTACAGTTCGCCGCTTGCGTCTTCCTATCGTATATTCTAGTCGTCGCTCTTACCCTAGTCTTCTTCACCTTGTTCTATACGGACACCACCGAGGTAATAATAATAGGCCATCTGATCATTTTTTGAGATACAATCTTTTTTCAGGGTCTTTCTGCAAACTGGTTACTTTTATACGCAGTCAAAAACTATCATACCAATCGAAACTTGGCTGAAATCATGGACGCACTTCAAGAGAATGTAAGGGACCTTAGAGATTTCGGAGTGGCATAATATCTCTAAAATTTTAGCTCGAATGCTGTGGAGTGTCTTCCATCGCTCAAGGATATCGGGATTGGAATATGAGTTATCAGTTCAACTGCACCACTTCAAATCCCCAACCTGAAAAATGTGGTGTTCCGTTTTCGTGCTGCCGGAAATCCGTCATTTCTGAAGCGGTATGTTGTTGTGTTTTGAGTTTTATGACGTATTCATTTTCGTATTTTCACAATGCCATCATTCTATAAAGGATTTGAAAAATGAAATTTCTCGTATTGAGTCATGAGGCGATTTTTTGACAGATTAGCTGCATGGCTAACAGTAATAGGAAGAATCATATCAAAAACAATCGAAAGTTACAAATAATCTGTGAAATTTTCAGGCTGGATCATCGAACCCACTGCTACCAGCAATGAGATCACTGGAATGCTGGCAGAATGCATTGACGAAGAGACCGGGAGATTTAGAGCATGATATCTATACACGTGGATGTCTTCAACCTTTGAGAACACTTTTCGAATCCCACGCAGTTCATGTTGGAGCATTCGTGGCTCTTCTTATAGTCCCAGTTGTACGCAATTTTTGGGTTTTGAAATTTCGAAATTTTCTTTTCATTTCAGTGTATTTCTGTATGTCTTACCAACATTTTGGCAAAACAAGTCGACCATCAAAGATATTTGCTAGAACGAGAAGCTCGTAGAAATGAACGGCGGCGAAAGAGGGATCGTGGCCATAATCATAGAGATCAAATGAACTCTTTGGATCTTCTAGAAGAGGGGAATTTTAACAACGCCGCTAATGCTGTAAGTCTGAAAAAAACTTTCAGAATGATGTAGAAAAATGCTTTGCTGTCCATTAGAATGATTGAAGCGCCCGGATTGATAAACTTTGGACTTTTGAGCTGCAAAAAACAAGTCCTTATGAAATAGCTAATGTCATGTTCTGGACTAAATGGTTTTCGGATTTCGTGAGGATCACATGAATGTGATTTTACTTAATAAAGTTAAATACTTGAACGTTTAACTCAATAATCACTTGTTTTTTTGGACTATGCTCGAAAATTTAAAAATATTAGTTCCGCAAATAATATTAGGTTGGTCCATAAGCTTCTTCCGATTTTGAATTCTCAACTTTAAAAATTAATAACTGTTCAACAGGATGGCGTTTCTTAGCAGTTGTTTTTTCTTGGATAGAGTATTTCACAAACCTGATTTAACTACTTTGCTTTATTCCTACTTCTTGTCGTTCGCGAGAATGACGCTTTATTTCGTCCCTTACCGTCTACACTTTCAAAATTGCAATTTATTTTGATTCTTTTTGGTTTAGAAAATAATGGTACTCGTAAGAAAATAAAAGAAATAGATGAAGAAGGATTTCCTACTGTCCCTACCATCAAGAATTAGACCGATCGATTCGAAGCCAAAAATTTAGAATCGAAAAATGAAGCTCGGCCCGAAAGTTGGTTTTGGCCCTATTGAAGAACAGAGTTGAAGCTGATCCGTTTCAAACCAGTCGTGAAATGTCATAGTCACTGACCGTTAGCCAACCAAGTATTGTGACCGTATTGAAGTTTCTTGGCAACTTCAAGAACTGGGTCGATTCGTACCCAACTTTTTGAATGACTGTGCTATGGATCTCCATGTAGACATGGGCATGAATCTTCTGCACTTTCTTCACACGTTCAGTTAGGTGGATAATCTAATAACTGTAGATGATAAGTGGGTAAGCACTCTATCAATGCAGGGAACGTTTAGGTGAAAGTGATATTATAACTGCCAGCTTGTATAGCTCATGATTAGAAAAATTGATTTTGGCAGTCTAACCAGACAACTATCAATGTTCATGGACATTACTTTGAATAATCTAGCCCCTTCGCTTTGATAAAAATTTGATCAAAAATGTTCCCAAAATCGGAAAAAAACTTATGGACCAACCTAATAGTTATGTTATTGTGAAATCAAAAATACGTCAAATCCGAAAACAGATAATTTCATTTTGGAAAAAAAACCAAAATCGGTGTGTTTTTTGCAAAACTGTGATAATAATCATGATTCAAAAATCCTTCTGGTAAATAGAATGAGATCATTCACGTCATTCAAATGCATCATCGCTACGTGGGGGTCTCCAAAAGCTGTCTTCCAAAAGTATTAGGATGAGGTTTATGCCATATTGCGAATGAGTCTGAGCTTGTCAGAGTACATTCTCGCTACCAAATCTAGCACAAAAACACAATAACGATGTTTGGATATTCATATGATGTTCTAAAAATAATAATATTGTTTACAGACTCGACCAAGGCCACCGGATATTCCACCTCCGCTACCACCAATCGAGCATGTACCACGAAAAAAGTCGCGAAACACAAGTAGCTCACCGACCCGCAAACCAAAGTCTGCGGGCGTCGAAAATGCTGCAGCTAGACGAAAAAGGACTCCTGCAGCAACAAGAACACCGCCTGTCAACCCAGCAGGACCAACGCCAACGCCACAGTCCACTACAGCAAATCGAACGCATCAATGGGTACTTCAGCAATCTGATTTAGTTCCACCGAAGAACAAATCATGAGTTCCTAAAATATGAAACTTCAGTTAAATCAATACCAAATTTTTTTTCGTTGTCTTCTCGAACGCGGTGATAACTTATTTTAGCCCATTTTCTGTTCCCAGCTATCTTTCGACGTCCCTCAAATCATCTCCTTATCTACCTATCTACCTAGAAACAAAATCACTTTTCGAATTTGCCATACACACAAATCTGGTGCTGTAGAGATTTGTACCCGCACACACTTTCTCCCACACATTCTCTTTTCTCACAATCAATCCCTCCGCTCAATTGTTCGCCATGAGAGCAACAACTGATTTTGGTCAGAACATCGTCTTTTTTCTTCACTTCTTGGGTCGCCAAACAAGTTGCCTATTTCATTTTTCCGGAATTCTAGCCATCGCTTTACATTTACAATATCTATAATTCGATTTTCTCTTTTTTTTTTTGTTTTTTTCTCATTTGAATTTTCTTGCTTTTGTAAATAAAACATTTCAAACATTGAAACGAAATTCATTCGAAGAAAGATGGAAGTTCAAGGTTGACAGATTAAAAAGATGGTAAAATGAAAATAGATTAGGAAATGAGATCAAAAATAGATGCAGCCGCTCTCGTGTCAGGTTCCGGGTAGGTCAGCACATCGCACTTGTTTGACATCCTCCTGAAAATTGATTAAATCAAAATAGAAAATCGCAAAACGGGGTTACCTTGAGTGCAGCAGTATCCCTTCTTCATGCAGTATCCTGGGTGGATTCCAATCTGAAAACAAGTTTCGAAATTTGGATTATACAAGACTACTGCACCTTGCAGAAGAGCTCTGGACAGACGGAGTTGTAGGCGCATTCGGTGGTCATGAAGCATTCTTCGTTGGTACAACACTTCTCCTCGGCAACGCAGACACCCTCATTCTCAACGCCTGAAACTTCTACAGTAATCATAGAAAATGACATTGATAATCTTACCGCAACTAGAGCACCGGATGGTTCGCCCATATCTTCTGTACGGGCACGAGTTCAGGAAGCAGGCATTGACAAGGCCAACCGAAACGATGAGCACCAGAAGGAGATGGATAGGTAACGAGCGCATGTCGCTGCTGGTGGGAATAATGAAAGTGAGGATGTGACTGAAAACTGGTGGTGGCTCTTCTGTGCTTGAAGAAAGCTCCGCCCATATGATAATCGTCGATTTAAACCGCTTTATTACGACTCGATCTCAGCTTGCGGGGCGGACGATAAGTCGTCTCACATGTCCATTTTACATGAGATGACTCGCTCCTCTTTTTTCTCAAATATGGATTCGATGACAGTTATTAGGAAATGTCAAGTGGGGAGGGATATGGAACGAGTCAAGATGTGGGTCTAATAAGCCGGTGTTGAATCATGTGTCAAGTCAGAATAGAAGAAATTTCTCGGAACAAGGTGATCCAGTTAAGAAAAACAAAAAATTTCGAAATGATGAAGGATCATTTCATCTTTTTATGGCCAGGACAACCTATCTCAATGGCCCGGATAATCATTACTCATTCTATTAAACAGGTATCAATACACCTGTTACAGTACGAAACAGCTGAAAACAAAACACTTGAAACCTAAGATATATATTAAAATCAGTACTCAAAGCTGTAGAAATCGACAAAATGGTGGCATGTATCTCACAGAACAGTTCTGGTCATTTCAAATCATTGCGAAGTTTGAAAATGCGACTCAGATTTCGGTATTTTGTTATTTCAAACAAAGGAAAGAATATACCTATTGGAAAAATTGGGCTCTCAATTTGTGGAAAACGTTTGTATCAAAAAAAAGTAATCAAAAAAGAATACCTAGTTTGTGGAAAATTTGAAAAATCAGGAACATTTCAGAAAAAAAAACCAATAAATTCTATTCAAACGAAGAAAATCGCTTGAAAATTTCAGTACGACATATCGGCTTTAAAAGGAAAATTAGTTAAAAAATCAATGACGGTGGAATTGTGGCAAAAAACGCTACTGCCATGGCCAATGGTCTCCTACCCGACTACCCAAAACTGAAAATGATTTTGCTCTCCGTGAGATTTTTTTACTATCAAAAATTAATTTTCCAATTTTTTCGGGGAAAAATAAAAGCATATTCATTGGGCAAATAATTCGGAGGGTACAACAATTCGGGGGTA